CCCGCCGCCCCGGACTCGCCCTGCAGGAGCTCCCCGGGAGCACCGCGGCAGTTGCCACCGCTGCAGGAAACGCCGCTCCTTGCAAACGTTCGTGCCTCCCTGCCCCGGGCTGGAGCCCCCGGGAGCAGTGCCAGGGGTGGCTGGGGAACTCACCGAGTGACTTTCTGGAGTGTTTGCAGGATGGCTGATTGGTAGGAAGTTATTCGGGAGACTGAGGCTCTGGCTGGCCTTGAACTCACTCTGTAGCCCAAGCAGGCCTCCAACTCAACAGTGATCCTCCTGCCTCAGCCTCCCCAGTGCTGCTACTACAGTGCTGCCAAGCCCAGCTCCGTGCATAGGAATCTTAGGATTGGTTCAAGTGATTCCCAAATTAAGCTCTCAACTCTGAGCCTGTATTTTTTTTTTCTTTTTTCAGTACTGGGGATTGATTCCCAAGCCTTTACATTGAATTACATCCCCAGCCCTTTTTATTTTTTATTATTTGTTTGTTTGTTTGTTTTGTACCAGGAATCAAATTCAGGACCTTGTACTTGGGAGGCAGGTGCGGTGCCAGTGAGCTAAATCCCCAGCAGGCCTTTCTGTTTTTCTAGATGGAGTATCACTAAATTAACCAGGCTGAGCTCTACCTTGTCATCTTCCTGCCTCAGCCTCCCAGAGTGGCAGGATTACAGGCCTGAGCTAACACCTCCAACTCAGTATCCAGTTTCTTATGCCCTTCTTTCTTTTTGGAGTTTGAGAGCACTGTATTTAAGAGAAACTTAAGAAACACATTAGAGGGAACATAAAAAGAATTAAGATGCATTATATACAGGTACAAACTCCCCGTGGTGAATGTAATCATGTATAGCAAACACATAATAATAAAAATTAAAGAAGAAATTAGTTTCTGTGATAAAAACTAAAGCCAAGCATAGTGGCACACACCTGTGATCCCACCACTTGGGAAGCTGAAGCAGGATTGCCGTTAGTTAGAGGCCAGCCTGGGCTACATAGTGAGTTCTAAACCAGCCTGACTACATAGTGGGACCCTGTCTCAAAAAATGAACAAAAGCACCAGGGATTTAGCTCAGTGGTTCCGCCACCTGACTTGCAAGCAAAAGGTCTCGAGTTCGATCCCTGGTACAAAAAAATTTTTTTAATCAAAAAATTAAAATAAAAAAATAAATGAGGGGTCCGGGGATTTAGCTCAGTGGTTCAGTGACCTGCCTTGCAAGCACAAGGACCCGAGTTCGATCCCCGGTACCAAAAAAAAGCAAAAAAAAAAAAAAATGAGAATGAAGCAGTTAAATGTTTTGTTTTCAGAGATACTGTAGGTGCTAATACTGGATTTAATCTTTTAGATTTAATTTCTTTTCTGGGTCAGGTAGTTATTCATTAAACCCTATACATCTATGTAATATTTTACATATAAAAAATCTTTTGTTACTTTATAGCCTACAAACCAAGAAATTTTGGTACTGTGGATAGAACTCGGGGCCTTGTGCTTGCGAGGCAGCGGCACCACTGAGCTAAATCCCCAGCCCTGCCTACCTCCCTTTTAAATCCCTTGCCATAACTTTGCTCATATATTAACACATTATTGTATTTTTCTTAAAGAATAACAAAAAGCATAAACATACACATGCATAATACTGCTGAGATAGAGGAAATAAATGTAACTCCCGACCATCGTTAGATGTCAGATACTCCAAATTCTCATTCCACAAGGTCAAAGAATGAATTTTTTTTTTTTTTTGAGATTTTGAGACAGGGTCTCACTATGTAGTAGAGACTGACCTGGAACTCACTATGTAGCCCAGGCTGGTCTTGAACTCACAGCGATCCTCCTGCCTCAGCTTCCCAAGTGCTGGGATTACAGGAGTGTGCCACCACACCTGGCTCAAAAAATGAATTCTAAGGAACAACAGAAGTTAAGAGTAGGAAAATAGGGGCTGGGATTTAGCTCAGTGGTGCCATTGCCTGCCTCACAAGCGTGCCAGGTCCTGAGTTTAATCCCCAGCACCAAAATAAAAGAATGGGAAATAGGAATAGTTCCTGAGAGACAGGAGGGGTCTGGAATGGGTTGCCAACCAGCCCACTTTTCTAAGGAAGTTTTATAGGGCAAAGTCACGAGGTATGAGTACAGCATAGGTCAAATTATAATTAACCAATACAATTACAAGTATAGCTACTTAATTAATATTGATCCAATAGTATCAAGGGCATGTGGATGACATCAGTAATTTGATCAATAATTTATAATCTTAATCTTTGGGCCAGGGATTTAGCTCAGTGCCACCGCACCTGCCTCACAAGCACAAGGTCCTCAGTTTGATCCCTGGTACAAAAAAAAAAAAAAAAAAAAAAAACACTATCAATCTTAGTCTTGTCTTTAGTCTTAGTCTTTTGGGGGGGGGATGGGTACCAGGGATCGAACTCGGGATGTTGCACTTTCGAGGTAGGTGGCCGAACTTCTGAGCTAAATGCCCAGCCCAATCAGTTTTTGATGTGTTCTCATCTTCTGCACTGACTCCTTCGAGGGCCTAGCCCTGTCTGACTGCCTATAACATTTCTGCCTAACTTAGCTGTCTATGATACTACTACCACCATTTAAAAATTAACAGTTCCAAGCTAGGAATATAGGGCAGTGGTAGAGCATTGCCTAACGTGTTCAAGGCCCTGGCTTGGATCTCCAGCATTACCCAAAAAAATAAACAAAATCCCAATGCTTGAGAGGCAGGGGCCAGAACCACTGAGCTAAATCCCCAGCCCAGGGAAATCAAAATTTTAAAAATTGTACTTTAAAGGGAAACTGCAGCTTCAGAACACAAGCCTGGTTTATTTACTTTTTTCTCCTTCTCCCAAAACAGCAAACCTGGGTAACTGCCTTTCAGCTGCAAACTGGTCTGCCCATCCCTTTTCACAGTGGACCCTCGAGTTACAACTGGCCTGGCATACAATCAACTTGAGATACTACCAGAATTTTAGTTTTAACTTACAAGCAAAGTCGTGAGGGCTGGGGATTTAGCTCAGTGGTTCTGCCGCCTACCTTGTAAGCACAAGGACCCAAGTTCCATCCCTGGTACAAAAAAAAAAAAAGGAAAAAAAATGAAAAAGTGAAACAAAAAGACAAATAGTGCATGATTCTGTTATTGAGTAGCTTGCTTCTAAATACTAACTTGCCATTGAAACATTGCTAGATTTAAGGTTGCTCACCTCTCCTTCCAGAGTCAGATTCCAGGTTCTTCTCATCTCGAACAAAGAATTAGACAAAGCAAGGAAAAAGCATTGGCAAAGTTTATTCCAGAAAGTAGGAGTGAAGAGTTGGGGCGAAACTGGCTCTGCCGAGCAAGCTTGGGCAGAGTAAATTAAAAAAGAGGGTAGAGCAAATATAAAAGTATGCACTGCCTCTGGGAAACAGAGCATGGGCATGAAAAGTTATGGTTTCAAAATCTTCATGGCCTTACTGCCTCCTTTTATGCCGTCCAAATCTCAAGGAAACCATGAGAACTTCTACATCTGGGTCCTGAGAGGTGGTGCTTGGATCCCACCCCTCAGGCTGATGTCAGGTCTAGGCCATCCTATTGAAAATCTGCTGGAGGGCCCGGGGATTTACCTCAGTGGTGCTGCTGCCAAGCACAAGGTCCTGAGTTTGATCCCCGGTACCTAACTAAATAAATAAATAAATTACCACTCTCCCTCTCATTAAAATATTTTTTAAAAGAAAAGGAAACCTGCTGGAATTCTCCAGCAAAGTCCATGCGCAGGGCTCTGGTAACAGTTCTGTGTATGTGTCCTGGATCTTGTAGTTAACAAGTTAGACCTACTTCCCCTGCCAGCTTTTGCCGCACCCTAATCTTCCTTCTCAATTCCACTTATATGAAGGGATCCACAGTAGTGAGACTCGTAGAGACAGAAAGGAGAACAGTGCTTGCCAGGGGCCAAGTTAAAGGGAATGGGGTCCATGTTGTCTATTAAGTAAGGTCTGTGGGCTCCCGACCCAGCCGCCATCGCTCAAGCGCCGGGAGGTAGGCCGGCCCCGACCCACCGCAGGAAGGAGAGCCACGCCTGCTCCTGACCCAACCTCCACCACTCAAGCGCTGGGAAGGTAGCCACGCGGGCACCCCTGAACTCCCAAAAGCCCCCCCCGCACTCTCAGTCCTCCTGACTGTGCCAGTCTTTGGACCCACTCTGCAGAGGCAGAGGTGGTTATCAAGGGTAGTTTTCTGAGTTCCCAACTTTGAACATCTCTAAAGAAAGGGCGTGGGAAACCTGTAATAGAACATTGTGGAGTTCAACCATTCAGAAGGTTGGGGAACTCAATCTGGGCCTTGCAGACCGAGGTCAGTCAGTGTCATGGGGTTCAGCCATCAGCTAACTGAGATCAGGGGTCTTGCAGCCTTGCTCTGTCTGAGCCATTAAATGGTAAATACACTATATTGAAATTGTGTTCACT